CCTGACTGTAGCAAATCTTGATTCTTTGACGATACCTTTGATTTATAGAAATACTGAAAAGTTACTCGGAACCAAGTCTGCTGAATCAGGTAGATGACCAAGCTAGGGAAGACTGATGCGGGGAACAGGAGGAGTAATTCCGAAGTGACCACAAATGATAGGTTTTTGTTTTTAAAATTGTATCTAAAAGGGAGTATTAAAAGAAGTATACTGACTGGTCGCGGTGGCTCACACCTGTAATCCCAGCACTTTGGGAGGCCGAGGCCGGTGGATCATGAGGTTAGGAGATCGAGACCATCCTGGTTAACACGGTGAAATCCCGTCTCTACTAAAAATACAAAAAATTAGCTGGGCGTGGTGGTGGGCGCCTGTAATCCCAGCTACTCAGGAGGCTGAAGCAGGAGAATGGCGTGAACCCGGGAGGCGGAGGTTGCAGTGAGCCGAGATCGCACCACTGCACTCCAGCCTGGGCAACAGAGCGAGACTCCGTCTCAAAAAAAAAAGTGTACTAAAAACAGCTGGGCTGTGGCAACATTATTAGAACATGTATATAACCTCCCAAGGGGACTTCTTTGATAATGTAATATTTCCATTGTGTGAACTAAGAAGTCAGTTTTTGTAGCTTTCATAGTTACACCTGATACAACTGAAAATTAGTTTCCCGTCTCAATGCAGATGTTAAATACCTGACAATGACAGTCTCAGTTTATTCCATAAAACCGAGAGACACCTGGGGATGGTTTTATCTTGTCAAACTTTGGACAACAGATTTCAGCCTTGTTATTGGTCTTGTAATACTAGCTTTGTTTTCTGGTCATTTAATACCAAAAAGAAGGTAAGCTAGCCAGGAAAAAAATGTTAGCTTAAATGTAGTGCCAGAGGATAGAAAAAAACTATTTCTGTATAGCAAAAGAAAAAGAATAGGTGCCAAATCTCAAATATTCTTGAGTTGATAATTTTCATCTCTCTGGTTATAACTCACTTAATATTTTATCATGGTTTGAGTTTATTTGTTTGTTTGGTAGAGATAGGGTCTCCATATGTTGCCCAGACTGGTCTTGAACTCCTGGGCTCGGGCAGTCCTCCACTCTCAGCCTCCCAGAGTGCTGGGATTGCAGGCGTGAGACACTGCACCTGGCCCATTTGTTTTTTCTTTTTCTTGTTTTTTTTTTTTTTTTCTGCTCTTGTTTGTTTATTAGGTTTAGGGACATGAGCTGGGCTTCAGCCAGTGGCCCGTCGCCTGTTTTTATTTTGAATTTGAGATACCTTTCTCATCTTTGTTTCTTCCCTCCCCCTACCAAGAAGGACTCTTACTCTGTCACCCAGGCTGGAGTACAGTGGCGCCATCTCAGTTCAGTGCAACCTCTGCCTCCCCGGTTCAAGCAATTCTGCCTGCCTCAGCCTCCTGAGTAACTGGGATTACGGGCACCTACCACCAGGCACAGCTAATTTTTTTTTGTATTTTCAGTAGAGGTGGGGTTTCACCATATTGGCCAGGCTGGTCTCAAACTCCTGACCTCAGCCTCCCAAAGTGCTGGGATTACAGGCGTGACCCACCGTGCCCAGCCTCCCATACTTTTTTGTCCTTTTTATTGTCTCCTATTTTCTTTTCACTTCTCACAAAGCCTGTAGTTTCGGAATTTATTTTGGGAATGGTTAGAGTAGCAATATTCGTTTTTTGTGTTTTTGTTTTTTGTGGTTTGAATGAGGCAACATCTTGGAGGAGACATAAGACTAGCATTCACTAAAGATGATATAACTTCTTTGTATTTTTCTTTGAAAAGGAAATTTTTTTAAAACTTTTATTTTAAGTTCACGGGTACATGTACAGGTTTGCTATGTAGATAAATGTGTGTCAAGGGGGTTTGTCAAACAGATTATTTGATCACCTAGATACTAAGCCTAGTAGACTGGTACCCATTCGTTATTTTTCCTGGTCCGCTGCCTCCTCCCACCCTCCAGTAGGCCCCAGTGTCTGCTGTTCCCCTCTATGTGTCCATTTGTTCTTATCATTCAGCTCCCACTTATAAGTGAGAACATGTGGTATTCGGTTTTCTGAGGAAATACTGTTTAACTTGAGAAAATTGGATTGGGTTTTAAACCATTGTTTATGTTTTTTAAAAAACTGAATAAGAATATATATGTAGAAATATTATCTCCTGCAATTTTTGAATTATTTGCTATCTTAAAATTGTAAAAGGTAAAATTTTCTTTTTTTTCTTTTTTTTTTTTTTTTTTAGACGGAATCTTGCTCTGTCGCCCAGGCTGGAGTGCAGTGGCGCAGTCTCGGCTCACTGCAACCTCTGCCTTCTGGGTTCAAGCCATTCTTGTGCCTCAGCCTCCCAAGTAGCTGGGACTACAGGCATGCATCACCATGCCCAGCTAATTTTTGTATTTTTTTAGTAGAGACGGGATTTCCCCATGTGGACTAGTCTGGTCTCAAACTCCTGACCTCAGGCGATCTCCCTGCCTCAGCCTCCCAAAGTACTGGGATTACAGGCGTGAGCCACTGCGCCTAGCTGAAAGGCAAAATTTTCTGTTAGACCCTCCAGAGCTCTTAACAGTGATTTTTTTTTTCTTTCCTCTTCTAACATGATAAAGTATCCAGCAAAGTGGTTCTTGGTTTTGGGTTTGAGACGGGGTCTCACTCAGTCACCCAGGCTGAAGTGCAGGGGCACCATCATGGCTCACTGCAGCCTCGACCTCCTGAGGTCAAGCTATCCTCCTACTTCAGCCTCCCAAGTAGCTGGGACCACAGGTGCAAGCCACCACACCCGGCTAATTTTTGTGTTTTTTGTAGAGATGGAGTTTTGCCATATTGCTGAGGCTAGTCTTGAACTCCTGGGCTCAAGCAATCCACCGGCCTCGACCTCTCAAAGTTCTAGGATTACAGATGTGAGCCACCATGCTCAGCCAGCAAAGCGAATTTTTTTTTTTTTTT